AGTTTTTAATTATACTTCACAGAACAAATGCCTTGCCTTTCATTCAGAAGGGAGTTTATCAACATCAACGTGGACAAAAGAAGGGAAAAGCTTATGATCTTAGTGACTTCTATATTGTAAGTATTCTTTTGTTGAATATAAATCGCTTTTGTTGGTGATTTGGAAGTAATATTTAGATATTCGAGTTGACAATTGTGATCTAGCTTTCCAAGAAGACCAAAAGTGTTTCCCTTCAGTAACATTTTCGAATTAAAGATTTTCAGGAGTCTGGATTATTTTGCTGTCCCACATTTTAGAGATTCCGTTTTTGGTCTCAAATTAAGCTGTAGTTTGTAATTCTCCCACTAGAGGGCACAAGACTGCAGACAGTGTAGTCCTTTTTGGAGGCAAAATGAACATTCGGGAAGGAGAGTCCTGAAGACCAAAGCACTTGTTAAAAATTAATAATCTTTGTAAGGTCTGCTGGCGTTTTTTACACGAGGAAATGATTAAAAATATTTTTACACGTGAGGAAATTGCAAGTTAATTAGTTTTAACCTGAAGTTTGAAAATGTTTACCACCAGCTGTTTAGAGTACAGTGGTAAACAGTGGTAAACTTCATCTACCAGCTAATCTGATGGGTGACTACAAATCACATTGCATCTTCTGTATTGGTGTACTTCTGTACTGGGTTAAGTGTTCCTGGTTTATAAATACTTGAGCAATTTTTCAAGTACATTTTTTTCACTTAGTTCTTCACATCCTCCTGCAAATCTTAAGTTTAGAGCAAAGACTGTGTTTGAATGAAGTATTTAAAGTAAAAGAAGACAACATTAGTTTTTAGTGTTTTGTCTAATCACCCGCCTAATCCTAACTGTTTACCTGTGGCTATGGTATGAGTTTCCAAGATGAAAGATAATACTTTCTTTATGGCATGGGGGTTGAAGCTATTTTTTAGAGATTATTTTATTTTATTTTATTTTTATTGTCATGTGTATCTTTGCAACCTGCAGATGGAAATGTGTTATGAATAAAGATGCATCTTAAAGCCATCTAGAAAATTTACTGCTACTGAGTTCAATAGCTCTTTGGAATGACATCGTATCTGTGAATCTACGTATCTGCAAACTAGGTGTCTGGGCTGGCATTAAGATATAAACATCTCTCACAAAGTCCAAATGGTTGATACACTGGCACAATAGCAGTGTCTCTGTTTCCTTCTTAGTTTATGAGTTTTGGAGGCTTTATAACCCCAGCCTGCATGGGTATTACAGTTAGAGCTACTGCTGGTTTTGATTCTTGTCAGCATTCTTTGCTTTTAGTTTGCTGCTTTTGTTTCTCTCCCCTTCCCTCTTCTTCCGAACCAAAAAGCATCTTTAATTTTGCAGAACACGTGAGGTGTGTCCTCTGTCCCCAACTTTGAGGAAAGGGGAATTTGTAATACTCAGAAGATACTATACTCGGTAGTAGAACTATATGCTACTAATAACATGTTTTTATTCAACATTTATTAGTGAAATCTAGCAATTTTAAAGGATAACTTTTTAAACATTGCAGGAATTATTTGAACTTTGGGAAAGCTACGTTTCAGTTGTTTGTTTATCTCAAGTATGCTTTTAGGTCATTGAAAATAACTGGAGGGTTTCTTCTAGTCTGAGAGAACTCATGGAATCAACGGGGCACCTTCTGCGATGCTCTTCTGTGGTCCAGTGAGTTTTGGATCCCATAAGGATGAAGGAAAAGAAAAATTGAAAAGTAGAGCCTGGCTGAGGGAGCAAGAATCTGTAGTGTCATGTTTCTCAACTCTAGATTAGGCAACTGTATGCCCTCTTACTAGACAAGCCTCTCTGTAGAGGATAATGTGTTATCTTGAAGCCTGCAGCTGTTTTTTTTTTAGTACTAGAAGGGCTCTGTTAAGGAGGTTAACTGACCTTAGCTACACCTTTTCATCATTTTGTACCAGGCTTTTAACACTCATACTTCTTGAAGGTCTTGCAGTAAGTATTTTATGACATATATCACCTATTTGTAAACCATTACATGCTTTACCAACAGGGAGCTAACCTAACTTTCCGAAGTTTTGATCATAACCTTCCAGAAAGTTTTAAGCAGAACCCAGTTCTCACCCTTCGCGTGATAAGTATTGATGAAGCAGCTATGGATTTTCTAAAGTAAGTGCAGCTAAATGTTTTTGAAATTACCTTTCCTTCCTTAAACAAAAAAGATTTTTTTAATAAGAGCTTCTAATATCTTATTACTTATACTGCTAAAAAAAATATCTCTATTTAGGCAGTTGTGTCCTCAAACCAGGACATGTTGTTAATAGAAATTAGTAATAGATGTTAATGGGTAATTCAGTGACTTTCTAAATTGATAAGAAGTAATTTTAAAATAAGAATTAATTAAATTATGGAACTGTCTTACTTGCTTTGTTTGAAGTCAGATGTTTTCATATACAAATCAAATAATGGAACTTTTCTTATGTGATGAACTAAAATACTGCTCTTGGGGAAAAATGCTTTTTTTGTGATCACCATTGTTATAATTGAATCTTTTGTGAAGCTTATGTTAAAAGCTGGTATCAGTCATGATAACTCAAGTGTTTGAACACAGGCAGGGGAAGGATTGGAGGTTTCTCACTCTGTTTTTTCTTTTCCATTTTCTTTTTCCTTCCTTTTCCTATCCCTTCATTCTTCCAGATACTGACACATGTTGAAGACTTCAGGCATGGGGACAGGATTTCTGCACTTATTCTTTCAAAATAAGTTTTAGTAAATTATGTTGTTCCATAATCTGAAAGATGGGAATTTCTTAGAACTTTTCCAAATGGTTAGGTGAATGTTAATCTTTGAGTATGAGTTATTTTTGAAGGTAATATTCTTATCTCAGTATCTATACAGAAGTAAACATTCTACGGAATGAAGCATCTTTCTCTGGATTTTCTGGATTTTATTGTGAGTGTAGTGGTTCTTAACACAAATAAAATCTTGGTATAAAATTTATTGCACTGTTGCGTTACCTGAACATGGGAGTTACTTAACAGTGTTGGAAATACAGTCAAGAGTTTGGTTACTCAAATTTTGGTGAGGAGTGTTAGCTGATAGCAGACGTTACAAGTAGAAATTTTCATAAAATCATGGAATCATAGAAAAGGCACCTCAAGAGGATCTCTAGTCCAACCCCCTATGCTCAGAGCAGGGTTTACTACAGAGGGTTGCTCAGGGCTGCATCCGGTTGGGTTTTTTAATATCTTCAAGCATGGAGACTCTGCAACCTCTGTGGACAACCTATTCCAGCGTTTGATCACCCTCACAGTACAAAAGTGTTTCCTGATGTTCAGAGGGAACCTCCTGTGTGCCCATGGCCTCTTGTCCTGTTACTGGGCTCCACTGAGCAGAGCCTGTCTCAGGCTTCTTTACTCCCTCCTGTCAGGTATTTATACACACTGATAGAATCCCTCAAGCCTTCTCTTCCCCAGGCTAAACAGTTCCAGCTCTCCCGGCCTCTCCTCATATATCAAATGCTTCAATCCCTTCTTGACTAGGAACAGCAATAACAGAATCTCAATTAAATACGTTCACTATCCAAAGCCTACCTTTGTTAGCACAACTTAACTGACTATTATTTTTACTTCTGCCGGTGTTTAGACACATGAAGCTTGTTTTCAGTTATGGTAATATTCACTTTAAGGTCCCTTTACAGGGAAAGCTCTGCAAAGGAGCCATAGTGAGCTAAAAGTACATAAAACAGTAAATTCAAATGTAATTGGTTATAGAAATATATAGTTGTATGATGCTTAGTGCTAATTGTTCCCTCTCTGCAAGGTTTCCACGAAATTAAAACCAATGTAGTTTAATTTCAGGTAGTTTATGTAAGACACTGAATTTCAGAAGCCTATCATTCTGGTAAACAACTTTTTCTTTCATTTGTTGCTAATCTTATGCCTGTGAAATTTGGAGTTGATCCAATGTTATCTCTGAAGGCTCCAGAAAGAATACCTGCTCACTGGGTTATAATTTTGGATTTTCTGCTACCTGTGGTGGAACAGATTGTTTCTTTTTTATGCTCTCTCTCTCTTTGCTCTTTCCATTAGTGTCTAAATTTCAGATTGTGAAGTCTGTCCTCTTCTTCTGAATGGGAGTGTTATTGAACAGTATTCTCTGGTACAAAACTCTTGAATTGTGTCCTCTTACCGCCATTACTGTACTCAGAGAATCCTGTTCAGGTACAGTCCAAAAGGTCTATTGCAGGTTTTCAGGAGCAGCTATGCCCTGCTGTCACAAGCCATGAATCTTTTGTTTTATGTGTGTTTTAGAGAGAGCATGCTGTCCTCTGTAGATGGTTGTTGACTTTCTGGTTTAGGTGGTTTGATATAGACAAGCTTTTAGGGACTTCATAATGGGAGATATCCAAGGTGGAGATGAAAAGTCTTAATATAGATTAAAATAACTATTGGACTTTTTTTCTCCCCAATAGGTCCTTCCGTAGTATTTTTTTATCAAACTGTACAATATTTTTTTGATGGGGGTTTCTGGGAAGCTCTTCTCAGAAGGGAATCACAAAATTTAACCGTAATTCTTAGATCATACCTAAGATATGCTTATCCAGGTTTTGATCTACAGTCTTGCTATTTCTCTTCTGAAGAGAGGTTTGTAGCTACTTCATGTTATTTTCCTATTGGTAACTAAATTTAGTTGCTTTAACAAATCCTTCCAGTGGCCTGAGCTGAAGATTAGGACTGTCTTTAAATAAATTTTTGGATATTTTACAGACAGGAGGAATTACCCATGATTAATGCATTAGTAGAGGAGCTGCTAATGGAATATCGTCAGAACAGAATTCCTGCATATCTGCAGCTATTGTGTGTGCCATCTCAAACTCAAGCAAGTCAATACTATGCTTATAAGGGTAGTATAAGAATTTAATATAAAGCTCAACATGTGTTTTTTATTACAGCTGTTTTGAATTCAGTAATATTACATGTACTTTCACCAATGAAGATTAATTTTGATTATTTTAGAGCTTCTTCTATGGAATTCAAGCAAGAGTGTTCCAAGCAAGTGGTTGATAACAACAAAGTTTTCAAGAAGATTCAAGGTTTGTGTCTACCAGAACCAATTTAATTTTAATTTCTGTATCTCTATCTTTACAGTTCAATGCAAAGAATGGTAACATTAATGAAATTAAACAGAAGTTAGATATTCTGATAAATATTATTAGAATCTGATACTAGACTAAATCTATCATAAGAATACTTTCTCCTCTCTCTTTCTTTAAATAAACAGTCTGGCTAAAGATAGTGAAGACAGTATAGAATAGTTGTGAATGCGGGCAATAAAATGTTAATCTCTGTGTTGACATAATCTGAAAAAATGCTGAAGCATAATGCCAATCCAATGTTAAACTGGCATTGAATTTTAAAAGTTACAGTTAATTTTGTCCTAGATGCTTCTTTAGGCCTTTTTTTTTTTTATAATTTCTTTTGATAGTCTTTAATATTATGCATATTAAAATATGTGAGTACTATTGAGTAGTATATTCTGGAATATGTAATTAAATTTTACCAGGTTCCCACCTACAATCTTTAGGACAAAGGCAAAGTTTTGTGTTTAAAATTATGGAAAGATGTTTATGCAGTGCTGTGTATTACCTCTGTAACCTGTGATCAACAAAAACTGTTGAACTGAACAGCTTCCAGGTCCCAGAATCTCCACTATTTACTGTCATTAGCTGAACCTTTTTTAAGTAAGCACTCTTTGGTCACTGAAATCTGTTACGTTTAGAAAAATTGTTGGAATAATAAGTTAGGGATATTTTTTAATCTTACAGTTATTCCTTGTTTTCCCTCATGTAATAGACACAAATTAATTTCTCAATTATCCGACTACATCTAAGATTTGCTGGTGTGGCTTGGAAGAAGGTTATGTGTATATACTTCAAGACATCTTTTACCATATGTCTGAATTTGAACTTTACTGGAAAAAACTTTCTTCTTTCCCCGTCTCCCCTATTTGGCTTTATAATTGTGGATAAAAGTAATCTGAAGATATAATATAATAATATCAGATGATTTCTGTTAACAGAGTATGCTGAGAAACTCAGACATCCTTAAAATAAACCTGCTACCTAGAGATTTTGATAAGGCTGTCATTTTTACCATAGAAATAGTTCTCTCTATATCCTTTTGGAATTATTTTGCAGAATTACTTATATTTGTTCCTGTTTCCACATGTATTTAACATGTTCGAACAATGAAGGAGCAACTGCGTGTCCCATAATGGAATGTTTGTATTACCAAAGTAGTGTTCCTTAATTGCTTTGTATGTTGAGTCATGTTATGTAATCAGTTCTAGCAGAAGTAAGCAGTTTTATAATCTGAGCACATAAAGGGGTGATATCCATTCTTCCTTTCCTTCTCTGATCTCTTTAAATGTTTTGTTGGATGTTGGCTGCTGCTTTATATGTTTTCTGCTTAAATGTTAAGTAACTGATAGTTTCATTTCGAAATGACATGCTCTCATCAAAGATAAGGGAGCTTGGATGTGTGGTTGTGTCATTTTAACCAGCAGTATCATAAGTAGTTGTGGTTTACTTTTATATCGGCTCCATAGCATGTGGCCAACTTCAGGTAAACATTGTGTCATTTATTTTTCCAAATCCTCAGGTGTACTCAGAAAGACAATAAGTAAAAGAGCAGTTCGGGTTATAACAGGCTTAGGAAAGTATTTCCGACACATAGACAAGAACAGAAATGGTTTTCTCTCTCAGGCAGACTTTAAAGAAGCTCTAAAAGTATTCCATTTGGAAATACCTGAAGGGGTAAGTCTAGCTGAAACTGTAATCGTGGGTATTATCTTACTTTAATTTATAGAATCACTTCCTTTCTTTGCTTAAATCTGTAGTTTACTAGCTATTTTTTTTAACTTTTTTTTTTCCTCTTGTGGTATATTGGCATATAATAATAATAATAATAAAAAAGTATAAATGTGCAGTCTTCTTACGTCATGAAGAAGAAAGAGGGATTGCAATCCATTTTTTCCTTTTTTTGCATTTTAAAAATAATTTGTATGATGCTATTTACTTACCTTTTTTTTTGTGGGTTTATATATTGTTTTAAAAACAGCCCACAGCTATCAAAACTGCAAATAATGTCAATTATGGTCATCAGTGACTGATGTTGACTTGCATTATTTTGATGAATCTTTCAGTCAGGTTTGATTTGTAAGTTGTTTTTTTGTGAGAATACTGTAATTTCCTATTACAGCATTTGTTTTATTCTAGGACATAGTGAAGAACTTTGGCAAAATATTTTTAAATTGCAGGACTTTGAATCCTTGTGGCTTATTCTTGATGATAGCAAGAGCGATAAGGTCGACTATGGAGAATTTACCCGTGCCATATTTGGAGAAATGAATGAATACCGCAAAGCATTTGTAAGAAAAGTAAGTTTGGTTGCAGATATTCTGGGTGTAGATATTTTGCAGTCCAACTTTGAAGTTGGTCATTGGTCATGTTCTGGTTGTTGGGTTTTTTGTTGTTGTTTTTCTTGAATTGTACATCTGGCAATTGACTTTTTAAACTTTCAGATCAGATTATTAAACATAAATTAGAAGACTGCATGCTGTTCCATTGTTGAATTAGTTAATTTTGCACTCTAGAATTAATTCCTTTATTATTTTGAGTTTATGTGTACATGTGCTATTCTTACACTTCAGTCCAATGTATAAAGCATCTGGCACCCTGAAACTATCTCTTCCAGAAATCTGTTGTCCTGGTTTGAGGTAAAACAGGATCAATTTTGTTCCTAAATCATGACACCTTATTTTGGCACATCACTGTATCTGTGTGCAGATTTTTTTTCCTCATGGTCTGAAATAGAGGCAATAATGCTTGCCTCCTTTGAGACCTACAATTAGAGTCATTATTTGTGAGAATTCTGATATTTGAAATGCCCTTTTTTATATGACAATAATGTAATGTTGAGCTGTTTGCAGTATGAAACACTGATTACAAAACAGCCAATAGAGTAGCGACTGGATATCAAGATAAATGACACGTACTTTCATACTTTTAATCATGGAGGATCTGACTCTCCTAGCCTTATGTATCGAGCATGTGTATTTGAGTAAACTGAAATGAAAACGAAGCTGTTGCTAGCAGTGCTGAAGAGGCTGTGTTGACGCCTGTCAGAATGACTCCAGAACCTTAGTAACTGGAGGAGGCAGAAGGGAAGCAGCTTAACATCTGGTTCTAAGGATGAGCTAGAAATTTTGGAGAGAAGACAAATTATTTTGAGTTGATGAGGGGACAACATTTGATGTGAAAGCTCTTGAGATAAAATAATCGTGAAATTCCATAATCTAGAATAATTTTCTGGTACCTGGTGCCTTACATAAAGTAGGTAAATTGACATAATCCATTGCACAAGATCTAAAAATACATGCTAGGTAGTTAAGTATATTTGATCTTTACGTCTTTCCACTTGGGTGTTTTTTTTTCTTTTTCCTTATATGCTTATATGATTTTGTTTTTCCCCTTTATAGGCTTATATGAAACTAGATTTCAACAAAACTGGGAGTGTGCCTATGGTAGATATCAGAAAATGTTACTGTGCAAAGAAACATCCTCTAGTATTGGCAGGTAATTCACATGAACAAAAAAAAATTTAAAGTCTGCAGCTACTGAAGTCATCTGTCAGCAGAGATACTAGATCCAGAAACTAGTTGCGAATACAAACTGTTTTATATTGGCTTAGACTTGAGCTGTTAAGGAGAACTTTTTTCCTCTGATGAGCTATAACGTGTCTATCTGGAACAGGATTATAAACAGTAAATGAGTTCATATAAACAATTCTAATACTTGCTTTTTATCAAGCTGCAAATACTGCATATATGCAGAGTAGCTCCTTTCCCT